AAATCATCTTATCAGCTTCACTCTGTCATCACTTCTATCAACTTATGAGTCATGACACCTTAATAATTTATTTGAGAACTGAGATAATAAATGTTAAATTTATAAGCTTCATTTTCATCTCACATCCAAATTATTAATTATTCTTTGTCGTTCACTTTTAACATTACAGCACAAGCACAAATCATGTTGACAGTTTACATTTTATAGCACTTTTGACATTTTTCTTTCCATATTTTTTCATTTTTACAATTTTTTTTATTGTTACGATTAAGAGAAATTGGATTAAGACATATTTTACATTCAATTCTTCTTCATTTTTAAATGGCACAAAATAAATATAAAAAATGTTGAGTATTTAAGGAGGCAAATAAGCGCAAGTGTTTTGTTTGTGGATGAAAAAGAAGACAAGCGGAATAAGGAAAATTGTTCAGACATGGATAATGCTTAGTAATGAAGTACGTAAGGGTTTAATTTTAATTTAAATGACTGTTTGTAAAAGGAGCTTAGCCGATAGGAAAAGGCTACTCTTCCCCGTCTTCTTTGATAGACAAATTTAAGGAATTCAGAACGATTTTTGTAAAAACCTGTAAAAACAAGTTCAACCCCACCGGCAAATTTTTTTAACCCCTGCAGTTTTGAAAAAACTCGGCTAGAAACTTTCATGCAACGCCCCTGATTCCTAGATACACTACTGACGCTAACGAGACACAAAAAGTTCATTAAACGCTTTTTAAGCATTTGGGATTGCGTAACATGCTAATAAAGTTGCGTAGAAAATGTGCAAACACTTTTGGCACAAAAAAACTTTTTTAGATGCAAACTTTTTTATTGAGCAGAAGTTAAAATTTTGATTATTTTTATGAAGGTGGGGAAGAGGGATTAATAAGGATTTGTGAATTAAATGTGGAATTTTAAAGCTAAGAATGTGATAAAAAAGATAAAAGACCAAAATTTTAATTAAGTTTTTCAGTTACTTCTTAGGGGCCGTTCACTTATGACGTCCGAAATTAACGGTCATTTTTTAAAAAAGAACAATGGATTTCCAGGAATCCCCCCCCCCCCTCTCCTGGACGTCATAAGTGAACGGCCCCTTAATAAATTTTAGGTTAAATTTAAAAAAATTTAAAAAAACAACGGTTATTTTTTAAACTTTTTGTAAACCAAAAAGCTCGTTTCTTTCATCGTTTCTCAAAAAATCCACAATATTTCTCATTTCCAAGCTTTTTCCATCCATTTTCATCCCATTCAAAATTCAAGCATATTTCTGTTTCAACATCTTAAGTAAAAATACAAACGTAAACCGAATAAAATTTGTGCGAATGAAGATAAATATTTTTTTATTGTGTCTTATTTTGTTTCCATCTACTCAGATGCTGCTAAACGCTTTATTCTCCTCAGTCTCGCATTTCAAAAGAAATAATAATTCAAGCTTAATACAAAAGTTCCGCTATTTTACTGCTTATTGCCATTGTTTTCTTTAAAATTCTTTTCCGTATCTTCATTTCATAATAATAATAATAATTTATAAGAGTATTTAATTCTTCTTATTATTATTATTATTTTACATTCACATCTGTGATGGCTGCTTTTAATGATTCTTAAGCCATGAAGATGCTATAATTCATACAGCACAACGTTTATTTATTCTTCTCAACAATTGACCCACATTTTTGCTATCCTCATCATGCTTACCAGCAAGAATTTTCATTCTTTGTTATTTACATTGAAAATAGAACAGTTTTTAATTTATTTCAATAATTCTTTTACTATTAAATTATTTGAGCTTTAAGTTGTGTAGGAAAGCAGTTGGGAATGAAGGGAATAAGTTCTACTTGAAAACAAGTTCTGAAGGTGAAGACAAAGTAAAGCTCAGAAGAACTAATTTATGAGTTGAGTCATGCTACTTGTGTAGTAAAGAGTTTGGAGGATCTGTAACGTATTTTTTTGGAATATATCAAGACCTTAGCTTCCATGGTTCAGATTAGGTGTATACCTTGAAATATATTTTTATAAAAGCCCAGTGATGGGCAACCTTTTTGTGCCATGACACCTTGGTGATAAACTTTGACAGAAACCGCACAAGGCAAATGATTTATGGAATTTCTTAATTTTTTTTGTGCCGCGGCACATGAGTTGATTATGACTGTCATAGCCATACTCTTTTTAATAGGAAAGTCACACTTTAGGGTCTGGAATGGTGTGCACTTTTAGGACCCACACACATAGTTTGTCCATTACCGGTCTACGTTTGAGTTAAGAAATTGGCTCTGATGCACACCATTTTATTCAATGAAGGAACAGCCTTTTGAAAAATAATTTAACTATTTCAGACATCATAAAATTTTATTAAAGCCTCAAGGTCACAGACCTAGTCTCCAGCACCACCCAAAAGCATACAACTCTGGATAAAAAATGATTAAGACAGACGTTGGATGTTCGTTAATTATTACTGATGATAAATGTAAATGAGTTTCAAGTTGAGATTTATTAGGAAATTTTTTTTGTTTCAACAGTCGCAAATGAAAATTGATTAGGCTGAGTGTGCCTTACTTTTATTCTAATTTGTCATTATGGAATATTCTTTTAGCAAACAACAAAATAAATTTTTTGGTAATTGGTGTGGGTGTTTTATTTTTGGATTTGATGAATTTTCATGTTGACATTTTGAATTTTTTTGTGGGGGGTAAGGTGATGTAAATTGGGAGGGGTACTGAGTTGACGTAGATTGTTCTTCTGATAGCATTAAAGTTTATTGTTGGTAGAAAGGATTTGTCGACTTGTTGGTATGAATTGAGCATTTTTGAATATTAAATAATATATTTTTGATCACGAACAACCGACAAAAAAGAGGAGGTGACAGGGGGGGGGGGGTAAAAATTTTTCATAAAACCTCATAATGTCCCCTAGCTTAACATCCCAGAAAATAAAATAAAATTGCAGCACATCACCCATTTCACAGTCAATCATAATTTCCCTCCAAAATAGCTTAATCCACAATTTTTTTCCATACAATTTAAATGAAGCCATTCCAAATACAATTTATCTCAATAATGCACATGAAATGACAAAAGTAGCACATTATTTTCCATATAAAAAAATATTATTTTCCTAGCTAAAGTCACAATGTGTAAAACACCGATAAGAAACATAAATAGCATGACTTGTGAATAACTTTTCCTTGATATGTTTCATTTTTTATTGTCCTATAAAACAAGCTTATGCTTTTGCTCTTGCAACGAAGCTACTTATCGAAGCAAGCAAAAAAAAAAAGAATTACTTTGTGTTTGGAGTGCAATAATGTATGTCATATGGATACAAAGTGCTGCACTGAAACACATACAGATGTAGGACATTTAATATTTTATAAATGCATGCAGGAAATTTGAAGTACATCAATTAAAGATGGAAAAAAAATTTATGGATTTTTTATGTACGATGACTTTGTAGATGTGAATGGAATGCGACCATGACTGACAATAAATTGAATTAAATTAGGTCAAGTAAATTAACAGACGAATTGACAGGATTTAAATGGAAAATTGAGGATGGGATGTAGATGGGAGGGATTGGAGTTCTTGTGGCCGAGGAATAAAATATTGATGATTCAAGCTTTTGGCTAGATCTGCAATTATTTTTGAAATTAACTTCATAGCTTTAAACTATCAGACGTTTTTGGGATGTGGCATTATATCCTATTCTGCTTTATCAAGTCAAGTATCAAATGAGATGTGGGTTCAACCTGGGCATTAGTAAAGAATACTAAAGTTTAAGGAACCGAAAGGTTAATGAGACTCCAATTCAAGCAACATTAAAGTAATTTTATGCAACTTTCCATCCATGCAATTCCCTTGACAATCTGCATTACTCTACTGAAAAATCAATAACCACGCACATCTGCTGCAACACCATCTTTCCGAACATATTAAATGAAAATTATTAAGTTCTCAATTTTTATTTTTTTTTATTAATCAACTTTTTTATTCCAAAGTTATTCTTTTTACAATTATTTTAATTTTATGGATAAAATTTCTGTACAATTTTTAAATACATCCATCAAGACAAGCTTACAACTTATATAATAGATTGTTCTTATGTATAAAATACATATTTTCATATTTACAAAGACGCTTATTTACATTCTAATTGTACGATAAAGTTATAGCTAGTTTATTATATTTAATACTATACAGCTTCATCATCATTATTATTACAGGATCTTTTATATATGTAAGAAAAGCATTATAGAGAATGCTGGAACATAAAAGCGAGGATGAAGAAATAAGATGGAAAAGATTGTATTGGAATGGGTAGGACTTGGGTGGGGGTCTCCTAATTTAAAAATTTGTTCAATATTATTTTTGTAAAATCTTTTAAAAGACAGCCAAAGTCCCCCTCATGTAGCCCTGGATCCTTTTCCTTTACCTTTTATCTATTGAATTCTATTTCCGTCCACATGATCCAGTCATGCAATAAACCATACATCTACCAACAAACTCACTTCTATTGCCTTTGATAGATAGTAACTCTGAACACAAAAAATAATGTACAGCTTATCATACAACAAAGTAATGAAAGGAAAATGTTAACTGTCTAAAGTTACGTAAAGCTCTATGCACAATGAGTGTGAGTTTGAATCAAAGGGGACAACAACATGATGGGGAAAAATTGTAAAAAAATTCCAAATATTAATTTTCTTATTATGAGTATAAAAAAATTTAAATTTCCCATCAAAAACTTTTCCCCATCAAGTTGTATCCCCCTTGGTTTGAATGGATAGATAGATAATGATGAAGACGAGAGAGATAGAGAGATATGTACACACAACATAATATTGTGAAAAAAAAATATAAAATTAAGGACGATGCTGAACAACAGCAGTGAAAATTATGACAGAAGATAGACTTACTAACTTTGTGTTTGTGGCAAGACAAAAAAAGAAATATTATAGTACCGCATTAATTATGCATTCAATCGCGGGAGGGTCGTATACAACAACTCGCTTAGTTATCGTAATATGCTTCATAGTCATCCTCATCATACTCTTCATCGTTTTGCATCATGTCGTCGAAATTATGTTCACGACGATCACGTTGTCTGGCTAGATCAATAAATTCATTAACTGAGCCATTCTCATAATCGTCAAAGATGTTACGGTGTCGTCGTGGATATGAATCGAATGAATAATCGTTCTCCAATGACAATTGATTCTGTTCTTGCGGATGAAAATCGTACGATTCATAATCATCATCTAAATATTCATCATCGTCATCATAATTGCTATTATTGTCAGCAGATTCGACCAGCTGCTCCTCATCATCATACAATAAATCGGAATCTTCGTTAACATGATCTAAAAATGCTTTCATATCCTGCAAATCTGTACCGAACTTGATGATGCTGCGTTTCATTCGATTAATGCCTAATATGCGATCTACATATCGTTGACGTGGTTTTATTATGCCCAATGGATTACTTTCCATCGACTTTTTATTCTTTTTACGTAACATCTTCTGCTTATGCTTTAACTTTGCCTCTCGTTCTGCCTTCTGTCGTGACTTTTCCATAACATTTGATTTGTGAACAATTGCGGCTATCATGTTGAGTAAGCGTTCTGATGGCGACAATACTTTTTTGTCATCATCGAGTGATATATATGGCTTTTGAGACTTTAATCCAGAATAATTAGAGCCACGATAGACACGACGAAGGGAGTTCTTATAGATATCATTACCAAAATTATTCTCAATGTCACGCTTTGCTAGACTAACCTCCTCAGAACTCATGATAGTTTTCAACAAGGGATTCATTTCAACGTCATTAGTGCGAGAAGCTTCATCGACCATTAGGGACCAGAGGGAGTTACCGAAAATTTTCTCAAATGAGCTTTTCTCATTATCTGTCAACTCGTTACTCTTTAATTGCGTTATAATTATTGGTATGAGCTGTATTGTGCTTAATTCATCAAAACGAAAATTTTCTGGGGCGTCAGATGGGAGGTCTATATAAAAACGACAAAATAAAAATTTGATTTAATATAATTAAATTTTTTATTGTTAATAAAATAATGATATATGAATGTGTGATGGGGTTACAATGATTATTGAAGGTGAGCTTTAGGTGGGGTTACAATGGTGTTATGGGAAATTTGAGTGGTGGGGTTACAATGACAGTAAGATGATTTTGGGGTTATGGAGCAAATTTGAAATTATTTTGTAGATTTAGTGTTTTAAAAAATTGAAAAAATTAGTCAAATTTTAGAAAATTTGAAGAACTTAAGAAATATTGCAAAATAATAAAAATTTTGGCGGGAAATAACAATAATAATATAGAGAAGCATTAAAAGTGGAATCAAAAATGTAGAAGAATGTCAATAGAATAAGAAACAAGTCAATTGTGATGAAGGATTAGTCGTTAACTTGTTGTCATTGTTGTTCAATCTACTTTTCCTCGTCGTCGACGTTCGGTGTGTCGGATGGAATTTCCTTGTTATCAATGTTCTTTTCCTCGTCGTCAATTGAGCGCATATCCATTTCATCAATATCATGAACAGCATTATCATCATTTTCATCGTCGTCATTTTCATCATTTTCAGATGACTTTACAAAATCATCGTATACGCTTGCCGGTTCCTCTTCTTCATCATCTTCCAATTGATCATCAACAGTTTCTTCTTGTTCGTTTGTAAAACTCCTCCATTCATCCTCTATATCGGCATTATCGATTTTCTCGTCATCCAAATTTGACAATTTTTCATCGTCAGTTCGCATTTCCTCAGCTGGATCTGATTCAATTGTTATCTCCTGTTCATCAATTTGATTCTCGACTGTTTCGCTTTTTGCACTATCAACAATATCAGTTTCTGATGAAAGGATGTCAGGTGTATAGTCAGATTTCAATGTATCTTTGAGATTCTCTACAATTTGAGTCTGCATGTCATTATCATTTTTTAATTCATCGTCATATGATCTTCCTGCATCGTATTCAATTGGTTTTGTGTCTTCAATCAGTTCTGTGTTATTCTCAATAATTTGTGCATTATTGTCAGTCACTTGTTCATCATTTTCAACTGACTTTTCAGCTTCTTCAGTAAATACAACATCACTCTCATTTGGAGGAGCTACTTCATCAACTTTTGTCTCGTCAACAGCATCAGTGACCACCAAATCATCAATATTTTTATCGGTTCGTTTCAAACCAGCATCCCCTTCATCATTTGACTTAAAACTATCGTAAAAGAAGTCATTTGGCGGAGCTGTATATTGATAATAAGCTGGTGTTACAACAGGAACAGGTTGTGTCTGATGTGGCCAAGTCGTTTCTTTCGGTTTCCATTGTATTGTCGTATACTCTGGTAGCACTGGTGTTGTTGCTTCATTATGATCAACAGTTGGCTGTTTAAGCTTCAATTTTTCAAGTGTCGCTTTCAATTTATTAAAAACACTCTCGACACGACTGTTGACGGCTGTTACCTTCGCCTCAATCAATTTATTAAAGTTATCGTGTGCTTTCTTTAATGCGTTCGTTACGGAGCCTTTTAAGTCTGTTCTCATCTCGTCATCGAGTGATTCTAAGTTGCTTAGTGTCATGCCTGGCTCACTATAAACGACATTTAGCTCAGTCTTATCATTCTCATCGAGTAATGTTCTTCCCATATCCTCAACATTTTCCTCATCATCATCATCAATTGTAAGCTCATCAAAATTGAAATTCTCATCATCGCTGCGTGCATAATGAAGTTGATGCTCAATCTTTTCCAATTTCTTATTAATGGAATCAAAAATTTTCGATGCCTTATTACCGACTTGCTGATAAACGTCATCGCCAAGCTTATTAATGTCATGTACACTTTTTTCGACATAACCCTTAATGGCATTTACTTTATGCTCTATGTTGTCACTAACTTTCTGTATTGTCGTATTCACATGCTTAATGATGGGCTTGTTATCATTGACATTATGTCCAATTGTTCCGTGACTCGACAAATTCTCATTATGATCCACTTTATGCTCCCCATAATAATCTTGGCTAATGCTAGGAATAAAGTAAGGTTGATAATAATAACTACCTTGAACTGCTGCTGTTGCCACGTTTTGTTGTTCATTGGCTACCTGATAAGTTGGATAAGATGGATATACATATCCATAGCTATTGTGCGGCAGAACAAAAGGCTTTGAATTATGATCAATAGGCTGTATTAACCCTTGCTGCTGTAATTTTTGCATATATGATGTCAGATCCTGAAATGCCTGACCATATTGTTGTGGATAGTAGACATGTTGATTGACAGCCACTTGCTCTGGTCGTTCTACATTTGAGTGAAGAAAAAACAATAAAAAAAAATATGATGAGAAACAATGGAATATGAAAGTCAAACAAAAGCTGTACATATACACAAAAAAAGCAAGCCGTTGAATGGAATGTTTGTTAAGAGACAATTAGTGAGTCGAGTTGTGTTCGAGGAAGGAAGGAAATTATTTATAGCTTCAACATCTACTCTCTTAGTTTTTGCTTTTTTTATATATTCCTCAACCCACATTTTGTTGTGTTTTTCAATGGCACGTAAACTTGATGGGGTAAAAAGTTCTCGTTCACTATTATCGATTATGCACTTATAAACGTAAGTGGATAGATAAATGGATGATGGAAGAAAAAACATATTGAAAAAAGCTTTATAAAGTTGTGTAGAACATCCATCTCACTTATGATGTGAGTAGTTTTTGATAGATTTTTATAAATTTTTAATGTTATTGAGAGGTTTTTGTGAAATTTATTGAGAGTTTGAATAAATGGAATCAAGTGGGGAACAGATATGAATATTTTGGTTAACTTTTCTGTAGATAGCTTAAAGAATAGCTAAAGTTTGATATGAACAATGAGTTTTTGAAACTTTGAGAGTTTGAACTTAAAAATTAAGAATTTGCGCAAAAAATCTAATATTTGGTATCAAAATTTTGCAATAAAAGCTGCTAAAGTTGACTAGAAAACATCAAATCTGAGCCATTTGTATCCGAAACTTAGTAAATTATCAAAAAGTCTGAAGAATATATTATTTTGTCGCCAAATCTTACAAATTTAGAAGTTTGAACCTTCAACAATCTTTAAAATACTTCCAACAAGTATCTATACCTTCTTCAGAATCCCAAACAATATCCCCCTAATCATCTCAAACCTTCAACAAATAAACAAGATACCCATCTCTAAAATCACACACAAAAAAAGAACTTTTCATCCAATCTACACGTGAATCCAATTTATTTTCAGTTAATACCAACAATTTACCCAATCTATCATTGAATCTAATATGTGTGGATAACGTAAAATGTCAATATCAAGCACAATATTGATGAATTCATCAATATACACGTGTACTTATATTGTAAATATCAAGGTTGAAGGATGGGAAAAAAATATATATATTTTATCGATCAGGAAAAATAATCTGCATTGAAACTTTTTTTCCTCGATAAATCCTTGTGACGAATTCATAATTGAATCGCTCACAAAATGTAGATGAATAGGGTTGGTAATTGTGACTAAATTAGCACGTATTAATCCAAGAGATTAGCACCACTTACCGTTATGATTGCCACGATAAATACTCTTGGCACTTATTTGAGCACAAATTTGTAATATGAGAATTAAAATTACTTTATTCCACATTTTTTACTTCTTCTTTCTTCACCAAAAAACTTCTTAATATGTCTCTCGAATTAAATCACTTCTTATATAATTTTTTTATGTAGTTTTGTAAACACTTCTAGCACATTGAAAATGAAACTTTTCTTTTTAATGCATTTAGAGTGTACGGCACTTTTGAAACTGTTTAAAAGTTTAAGGATGTAATTTGCTTAAATAGTCTCTTACTCTCGAAACTTCCCCTACCCCTTAGAAACTCTCCTCAGAAACTTAACAAAACAAATACAGAGAGTGAGAGACATGAGAGGGGAGGAGAGAATCGAGACATAGGAAAGGATAATTGCCTATCTCTTGTCAGGACATAAACAATGGGAAAGAAAAATTCTTTTTCTTAATTACAATGTGATTTACCTGAAAATGTTAATGTCCCGCCCATGGCTCTATCTCTTCTATACACATAGACATGTGATATGGTGCCATACTCTCTTGTTGTTGTTTGAAACGTGTGCCATTCACGAATCTCATTTTCTCTTACCTTTTTTTTTAGCAGCATTAAGGTATCGTCGATGTTTATGTAATTTGACTTTATTGAGTGGCTTAATGGCTGACTCTGTGGTTGGAGATAAATTAGTATATTGCTGTCTGGATGGGATGAAGGGGTTACTAAGTGGTTTTATTGGGTATATGCTGGTGACTAGGGTTTAATAGGTTGAATTAGTGGGAATCTAGGGAGATAAAGCTTGCTGACTATGAATCTGAAGGATATATGAGTTATGTTGGCTGGATGGAGAATCATTTAGGTGAGAATGGAATCTGAAGCATATTGAAGGCTCGTATAGACCAAATAAGAATGAATGCCAGTCGTGTGAACCTATCTAAAGTGACTGACAGTCATTTGAACTTAGCTAGAATGACTGACAGTGTTTTGCAACCATAGGAAATTCTACAGGGATGCTGGATTCTAATTTAAGTAACTGAAAGCCATTAGAGCCTAGCTTAAGCCCTAGTTCAAATAGTTGTGATCAAGCTATTCCAAGCTAGTCAGTAAAACATGATTAATTTAAGCCAATCAAATTAGAATCGGTTAAACTTAAACTCAATCCAAAAAAACTGCGCCTTATACTCTCTGCCTGCTCACCAACACCACAAAACTCATTTACCTCCTTGTTGATCTTTAAGTTACCTTTTTTCAAACTAATAACACATTAAGACATTATTACATTATCGATAACAATGTCATTTCCATCTCTTTTACTCCGTCTCACTTCCTTTTGCTCTTTTATATTTATGTCTTTACATTTTTTTTTTTGGTTCCTCAATCAATTAAAAAAGGGGATGTTGTTGTTATTTTAGTACAAGAACCACTTCAGTTACTGTTGACATTTAGATTATCATCAATGTTCATTTAAAATGGAATATTTTAAAAGCAACGACGACGACGAAAGGGATCATGATGCAGAGACAAACGTGAATCAGTGTATAGAACATTATGATAGACACATAGTCGGTTTCATTGACATGTCAGGACAACAACAACATTACGTCAGGAGACGCCGAGACATATTGTAAATAAAAAAGTATTTTTTTGTGTGAGGCGTAGATGAGCAAGGATGAAATAATTTTAATGACGGTTCCTTACGCTCTAATTTTCTTGAATAAAAATTATTCGTCACGTTTCACTTTAAAATTTTTCAGTTTTAAGTGGAGGTTGGGGTTCTTATTTTTTATATTTTGTTAAGGTTCTATGGCCTGAAACATGCAATAGAATTTTAATTCAAGAATTATTTTTTTTGTCTGTCTTATTTTTGGAGATATGCAATAAATAGCTTCGAATTTCAATTCAGCATATTTGGGCTGGAAGAATCAAAATTTTTTTCTGGTGGAATTGTTGAATGAACTGGAATTGATTTATGAATTGGAGCAGATTTTATATATTAAAAAATATTGTTTCGTCTTTGAATTTTGTTTTTTATCTTGTTCAGGAGAAAGGAGGTCCTTGATTTTTGGATTTTTGTTTTTTTTTTTGTATTTTTTTTTCTTCAACTAAATCAGTGTTGTCTAAACTGTGTGCCGTAGAATTTTTTGAAAATGACACGAGCCGCATGCTGGGTGTAACTTCGGTAGACTTAGCCCTAAAGGCTATTGAAAAATTAATGGACTATATGGTGTAGTATTTGCAAAATTCGACTGTGGGTAGGGTAAGGCAGCCTTAGTAATCATAAAAAGATGCAAGAATCAAATGGAAATGATTTTTCAAGATCAACACAATTATTCAAACCATGGATCCCCATCTTAAATTCTCCAAAGGAACGAAAATGATTTGCAATTTTATTCTATTTCTGGCTTTACATAATTGTCAATGCTTCTCCTTCTTCTTTATTTTCTTTTTATTTACATTCATCTCAATACACCCCCTCCCTCCTATACAACATTCAAAACAGATACAAAATGAAGTACACAATCATAAAATTCAATGAAATAAAAAAATGAAAATCAATGACATGAGAAATAAATGACTTTCCGCTCGATATTTTCCTTCTTTATTCTCCAGAAGTTCATTATAAAATGTTCTTAAAAATATTGTGTTTTTTGGAGGGGCTTTTATGGTTGATGTTAAAAACACAGCGTGATTGTTGTGTTGAATTTTGATGAAATTTTCATTATTTTTTTCTGCTGCTTGGTGCTGTCAGAGACACATACACACATTGGTGAGCTGTTGACGCTGTTCAAAGCAGTGTTTTTTTTGCTGACGGATATGAAAAAAAATAAGATTTTGTGGTGGTCTGGGGGGAACAGGATGCTTCACTGATGCGTAATTTACATTTTTTAATTTAATCTTATACGATTGATTGATGTAGAATTGAGATAGAATTGATAACTTTATCGTGGTGAGCAGTGAAAGTTATCGAGGTCTCAAACTTTATGAAGTAGAATCTGCTAAATAAAAGAAAATACCCTCGTAGCCAAAATGGTAAGGCAAAATACTAGAGTTCCTCTGTTCAGTAAAGAGTTCAATTCTCACAAATTTTTAAAATCTGGAAATCTCATGACTTCATTTTTTTTAATAAATTTTCATCATATCGCGGATCAAATACATTTTAGGACTATAATCATTAATTTACAGCCATTCAAAACAATAACGAACTTTTTACAGGTCTAGACTAAGTTTTTATGTACCTGAATCACTCTCACTTTCAAATTACGTCAACGACAACAAGTTAATATGTCGCGAGAATCAAATTCTCATCAAGCTAGTCTTCTTGCTCATCCAAAAAAAGACTAGACAATATTGACTAGTCAGTAATTTCACAAAATCAATAAAGCTATGTTCAATATTGTAGCAACATGATGACTAATTACATCCATCATTCATCAATTTTGATTGTTTCCATAATTTAACACAAGAATATTTCTTAATAATTTCAAATTCCACAAATCAATCAATTATTTCAAGCCGACGTCAAATTAATTAACAAAAAATAATAATGATTGATAATTAATTGGATAGAAATCAAAATATTTGCTCATAAAATTAATACAAGTTTCCATCGACCATCAAATAATTTCAATTTCCTTCCCCACCGAGAAACTCAATAAAGACATGCAAATAAATCCCAACAGATTGTTTGACAAACTGAGTATCGAGTCCGTAACAGAAATTAATTGTAAACATAATTGAGGACGATTTTAAATGGTGTGTAATTGTTTTTTAAGGAGGAGGGGGTTCAGTGGAATGACATGGTAAGGGTTAGTTTAGGTTCGCTCTAATTTTGATTATTGAGCTCTAATTTAAGTCTTTGGCCTCTTTTTAAGTTCCTGAGCTTCAATTTAGATTTTCTTGGCTCAAATTTAGGTTCCTGAACTCTAGTGTAGGTTTTTGAGCTCTAATTAAGGTTCCTGAGCTTTGGATTAATATCTGCGCTTAAATTTAGATTTTTGGGCTTAAATTTTGGTTCCTGAGCTCTAATTTTGGTTCCTGAACTCTAATTAAGGTTCCTAAGCTATATTTTAAGTTTCTGGGCTTAAATTTAGATTTTCTGAATTTTCATTAAAGTTCCTGAGCTTGAATTTAAGTTCCTTAGCTCTATTTATGTTCCTGTAGTCTAACTTAGCCTCATTTGGGTACCTTTGGTCTTCTTTTGATGCTTCAATAAATCCTTAAGGTCGATATAAATCAGTAACCAGAGACTAATCAGATCCAAAAATCTCAATTTTCAATAAACATCACTTCCAACAACACCCCAAAGCAATAAAAACAGAAAGAACAAAAAATTCATCGCACAAATCAAAATAATGAGAAATTAATGGAAATTCATTTTTACAGTCGTTGGAACTGTGCGGTTTGTGCTGTACGTGTGGGATGAATATGAAATGATCATTAAGAATATTTGAATAAATAATTTTATTTCAATTATATAACATTACATCATTAAAGCCTCCCATCGAGCCGCACTTACTGATATCGTCAAACTGACGAGACTTATAAAGTCACACGACACATTTCCTCCTTGGTGAGACTCAAAAAATAATGTAATTTTTATCTTCATCAAAGATATTTTTAAAGTGATATTTAATGCAGAACCATAAGTAATGCGAAACGAATTTTTAGTGCCGTAATCCTAATTAAGTTCCTTTTCAGTCAAAACCAAAACAATAGTCAGACTATTTATGTTTAAATGACCATAAAAATATTAAAAATAACAACAACAAGGAATAAGAGGAGCAGGCACTTGATTGAATGTAATATACGTAATGCTTTTGTCGTCATGAGAATGAGTAAGAGAGAGCCACGAAGAGGAAGAGACGGACGAGAAAGAAAGGGGAAAAAAGTCACAAAATAATTTTTTTATTGTATGTTTATATTCCGACTAGGCTGGAGACAACACATTTAAGGATATAATTTCTATCTAAATTATCAACGGAACCAGAATAGCGCCAACTTGAACTTTGCAATTTGTCAAAATCCATTAAGGAGTAAAAAAAAAGTTTCTCAACTTATTATTGTTGTTGTTTTTGTGTTGGCTATGGCTGATAAATGTTAAATGTATGAGGGATTTAAAATGATTTTGTTATCTAACAGTTATGATCTTCTTGTGACTTCCTTTTGAGGATGGAAATGGGAATAATGCAAGGTGTAAAGATAGTTTGGTGTCGATGGGGCTATTGACGCATTTCTTTGTGAGCTCAAA